TTCATGTTGTCCAACATGAATCTTATACCTTCCTCTGAATTCTTTATCTTTTTTTGTGTTTGTTCTTCTATCTTAGTGGCATTGAGAGACTTGTCTTCCAGCTCGCTGATTCTTCCTTCCATCTCATCTATTCTACTCCTCTGCCCTTTCAGAGTATTTTCTATTTCTGCCATTTTGTTTTTGATTGTCTGTACCTCTTTCTGTAGGCTTTGCATTGTTTCCAATGCTCTATGTATCTTGTTTGATTGCTCTTGTAGCACTTTCCTGACTTCTACCTTATTTTTCTCAACTCCATTGTAAAGTGTTTTGAAACATTTTATATAATCATTTTTCTGAATTCTTTCTCAGGCATTTCGAGAGCCTGTCATCCTTCCAGAATGGAGTCCAGATCTATTTCTGGGTCATTTGTCTCAGATATTTTATCTTTTTTCTAGACATGTGCTGATATGGTCATCTGTTTTTGCTTCTGGGACATGTTTGATGTTTATCTGTGGCCCTAATACTTAAATGAGTATGTATTTTGGTACTTTTTTTGTTTTTATGCTTTCTGGTTTCTTCCAGGAAGATGTGGTCAGGGTGTGGTCTTCCCTTTTCACTCTTCTTATTGCTTGACTCAGAGTAACTTTCACAGGTGCTGCCTGTTTCCTTGGTATCTGGCAGCTGGTATTGGTTATTGCCTGGGTTTTGGTGTTTTATACGGTGTGACTGCAGCTTGGCTATTTGGCAGAAGTTTCTGACTCTTCTTGCTCCCCTGTTTTTGATATAAAACTTCTACCTTTAAATTGTGACAGTCACAATTAGTCATGATAACTATTACTATCAAATCATAAGAATCTTATTCCCATCTCTTTTAGTCAGACCCATCTAGACAAGATGAAAACTATTCAGTGGGGACTCTTTCTTCCCACACACTATCAATAATACATCTTGATTGCATGTTAGATCATCTTCAGACTGAAGAAGTTGGTAGAATTCTTCAAATTCATCCTCACTGGCTTTAGTGGTTGGTGTGTAAATTTGAATAATAGTGGTATTAACTGATCTTCCTTGCAGACATATGGATACTATCCTATCACAGACAGCATTATACTTCAAGACAGATCTATATATATATATTCTTTTATGATGACTGAGGCACCATTTTTCCTCAATTTGTCATTTCGACATAATAAACCATGAGATTTTCAGATTCAAAGTGGCCAATGCTAATCCATTTCAGCTCACTAATGCCTAGGACATCAATGTTTATGTGTTTCATTTCATTGTTGATAACTTCCAATTTTCCTAGAATCATACTTCATATATTCTATGTTTTGATTGTTAATGGATGTCTATAGCTGTTTCTCTTCATTTTGAGTTGTGTCCCATCAGCAAATTAAGGTCCCAAAGGCTTTTCTCCAGTAGCGTTATCACGGTCAATTCTACTTTGAGGAGGCAGATCTTCTACAGTCATATTTTGAGTGCCTTCCAACCTATTGGCTCATATTCCAGCACTATATTTGACAATATTCTGGTGCTTTTCATCATGTTTAAATATTCAAAATTCTTCTGATACACTGTTCCACTGCTATTCATAAGGTTGTTAGTGACTAAATATTTGGAAATAGTCTTTCCTTCTTCCTAGTCTGTCTTCATCTGAAAGCTCAGCTGAAACCTGTCCATCATGGGTAACCCTTATAGTATTTAAATAAATACCCATGGCATAGCTTCCAGAATCACAGCAACCGTCACGCCACCACAGTACAACAAGCTGACATACGAGTGATGGTAAGATGCAACACATATCAGAATACATAATCCCTTCTAATTACAGCAAGGAGCCCTGGTGTAGCATAAGCACTGGACTGCTAGCCACAAGGTCAGCTCCCTTCTAATTACAGCAAGGAGTCCTGGTGTAGCATAAGCACTGGACTGCTAGCCACAAGGTCAGCAGTTCAAGCCCACCAGCTTTTTCTTGAAAACTCAATTAAGGGTCGCTATGAGTTACAACTGACTCAACAGCACTTAACAACAACAACAATTATAGCAAGTGATTCTATTATATAAAATTCGATAGCCTAGAGATGGGTTTTCTGACTTTTGCAGTAGAACACTGTCACTAAATGAAAACTTATCTAAAAACTTACATAATAAAATAGATAAATGCAAAGATGCTTTACTGCAGTGGTAGAAAGAGTTCAGAGCCCTGCTTGCTAAGCCTCCTCTCCATTCCTAAGCCCCATGAAGGCCTTTTTTGCTATGATATATCCAGTGCCTGCCATTTAGCAAACACTCAAGAAATGCTTGTGTATGTGTGAACAAGGTATAAATTTATGGGAAAAGACCACACATAATGATGTACATAATTATCCACGCTAACATCAGTTCAAGCTTTTAGTCATGCCTACTTTCAATAGCAACCTCAAAGTAGATCTAGTTGATACTATATAATAAGTACAAAAAAGTCAGGAAAACAATTTTGGAATTCAACAAGTGATGTGAAATGTTATACCAGCAGTGTATGGCAGGCAAAATATGTAAGATAAGGCTTCTCTTGTCTAGGAGATCTCCCTTTAAGTTAAAACACTCTCATTTCTTGAGTTCAATAAAAGATAGATTATGTAAATGCTATAAAGTGAAGTAAAGTTCAATAGGGATTTGGAAAATGTGAAGAAATCATCCAGCTGAGAAGAATGAGGAAAACTTCCTACAGGTAGCAGAATCTAATTAGAATACTGAGGAACGGGTAGAATTTCAATAGGTGAATCTTAAAGAAGTACATTTCTGGTAGAGAAAAGAGCATAAACATATGAATGGAAGTATCATAAGGAATAGGAAGTAAACTGGGCTAAAGCTTCAAATTTCTTGTGATAAAAAGAGAAATTATCATTGTAAAGGTAAATTCAAAATATCTTAAAAGGTACATGTACAACAAATAATAGACTCCATTCATCAGATGAATATTAACATACCAATGTTAGAATCAAATCAAGCAAATACTTACAAGGTCATTCATATTATTTTGGCTAGCTGGATTAATTTCTTCCAAAAATTCCAAGACATAAAATGTGTATCTATCCATAAGATGGACTCCAATTGCAGGATCAGGCTGGTGCTATAAGAAAATGTTAAAAATGTAATTAATATTTCCTTGTAAGGCGCTTAAAAGTTCAAGAATAATACATTACAGACATATTCATATGAAATACAAATAGTCCAGAATAACTACACATTTCTAAGACAGTAAAACTGATAAATGGAAAACTATGCCTACCGAGAGTGAGTCTTCTCCCACTTGGCTACTAGCAAGAGCCATTATGTTAGGAGAATAAAATCGCTCATACATGGATGCTCCTTGACAAGTATCAATAATAAACAGCAGTTCATTGTAGCTGAAAAAAAAGTGACAATATTCTGGCCATGAATAATGATGTCAATCATATGTTGATAATACTTTTAATACTTCTATAACATGTCTATGTCATATCTTTGTCATTTCATAAGCTAAATTTGGAGACTTCAGAATACCCAATAGAAGCTTGATATTTGAAAAGTTAACAATAGTTGTGCCCATGTGGCTCCCTAATACTTTCTTCTTGCCTTGTTTATGCCACATAATTCAGAATCCAAAAAGAGACTCAATAGTCAACAAAATATTCAACTGAACAAAAACTTACTTTATACCTGTCCTATCTTAGAAACTAACATATGTGCAAAAAAAAAGTGTGTGTGTGTGTATCACAATAACTATATTCACGGAACTGATAAACCTTAACTGGGAGGCAGACAAGCAATATAACTAAGTATTTTTAAATCTACCACAACAGAAAGGCCTGACAGTCTGCTTCCATTAAAATTATAGCCAAGAAATTCCTATGGAGCTCAGTTCTATTTTGTAGCACATGGAGTAGCCATTAGTCACATTAAGTGTCAAAGATAAAAAGTAAGCACTAAACTGAAAAAAAAAAGAAAAAAGTCCACACTCACTGCCGTTGGGTTGATTCTGCCTCATACCACCCTCATAAGACAGAGTAGAATTGTTCACAGGGTTGCCCAGGCTTTAAATCGTTCCTGATACACACTGCCACAGCTTCCTCCCCTCAGAGAGGCTGGTTGGTTCAGACCACTGACCTCTCAGCTAGCAGGTGAGCACTTAATTATTGAGCCACTAGGACTCTCAGAATAGGTACAAGGTAGATAATTAAATATAAGTTCTAATCCCCATAAAAAATGGACAACTTAGTTGGAGGAATTTCCATTACCCCTATAAGGATGCTATATATACCTTCAAAGGACTATTTTCATGTTCTATAAACCCAAATTTTTCTTGAGGATAAAAACAACGACCCTCAAGTCAGTGTAAATAATGAATATAAAAAGGAACCATTAAAATAATCAAAATACTGTAAGTTAAGAGGCACAAATATACTAAGCATGGAAAAATCATAAATAATTTTATATTACGAAAAAGTCATTTGCTAATTAATTACCGTCTTTTCTGCCACATTTGCTCAAAAGCATCTGCAAGTTCTATGTTAGTAATTTCTTCAGAATCTTGAAATTTCAAGAAACCATTTCCACCATGTCCTTATAAGAAGAATCAAAAAGATCAAACAGATATACTTTTTATACAAACAACATATATTCTGGAAGATATATTTACTTCATTCATTACTGCAATCTAATATCCTTATTTATTTATGCTCTACAATAAGTACTGTGAAAAAAATTAATCTAAGTTTTCATTATATAAATTAAAGAGAATGCTAGACTGTAAAAAATAAAAGATACCATATCTTTACAAGTTTTTCTATCATTCAATTCCAGAAAAGCACATTTATACTTTTTCATTGGCTCCATTATGATATCAGAAATGATTTCCAAATTCCTTAACAAACTGAGCACACATTTTTAGGGCAAAGAAATTGAAGAAACTAGGTAGTTACATAGTATGCTTGTTGTTGTTAAGTGCCGTCGAGTCGGTTCCGACCCATAGCTACCCTGTACAGGGTTTCCGAGGCTGTATATCTTTATGGGAGCAGAATGCCTCATCTTTCTCCTGCAGAGCGGCTGATAGTTTTGAACTGCTGGCCTTAAGGTTCGCATATGCTAGTACTATGCATATTACATACTTAGAATGCTAGTACTACTAAGCAAGAACGGTTCTTACCTAAAAATTGCTATTTTCACTACAGTGAATGTTCTGGGTTCAACAGAAGAGTCTAACATTTAGTATGCATTATTCAGCCAGCATTTCTAGATTCAAATGCAAGCTTTGGCACTTACTATGTTACCTTAGATAAATAAATTAATCTTTCTATATCTCCATTTCATAAAATAAGAAACATATCAGCAAAAAGATAATTTGCCTGCTTAGACAGCAAGCTCCTTTGTACAAAGTTTAAAACTCTATCTCCCCTAAAAAAGAATTACCTGCTACAATTTGATGAACTTTACCTATACTTATGGATATAATAGCTCAAGGAAGGGAACAAATTTTTACAACGAAGATCACTCCCACTCCCTCAGTACACAGGGTTGACAGGGATGGGCAACTTAGACATTGGCTACCCAAAATTGGGGGGGGGGTGCTATAAAGGCAAGAAGTGACCGGCTTACAAGCTTTCAAGAGGGAGCCTAGTTCCAGACAGGGTGGGGAAGGTAGAATCTCTACTGAATGATTTCCAATCTGTTGGGACTGGGCTGGTGAAAGCAAATGGGAATAAGACTCTTGTGGTACAATAGTGAATAATTGCCATCAGGACTGACTGGGAGGGTAGGAAATATAGAGGTAGATGTTTTTTGACAAAAGGAGGGGAGAGATTGATTTTGCAGCCCAGGAGCGGAGGTCCCTGGGACCATCAAGTGAGAAGAGCGGAGAGCATGACCCTACCCAGAGAGGCAGTAACGCCAGGGATGGAGACAGATGGTGACATGGACAGATGGAGCAGCTGGGGACACTGGGCTCAGGGAGGGCGAAGGGCTGTGTGCTGAAGGCCGGGGGGGGGGGGGGGTGCGTGACTATGGGTGTACCCTTGGGTTATCTAATGATGCATGGAGGGGATGGTAATCATCACGATGAACAAAATACAATAGATGAATGTAAAACTGATATTCTTCCATGCAAACCTCACAATAAAAACTTACTAAAAACAACAACTATATCTCCTTCAGAGAAGCAAAACAGCAAAATCTGTTTGAGTGCCCTCTCATTCTGGTGGTACAGTGGGCTAAGCATTGGGCTGCTAACCAAAAGGTCGGCAGTTCAAACCCATGAGCAGATTCGTGAAAGGAAGATGAGGCAGGCAGTCTATTCCACAAAAATGTACAGCCTCAGAAACCCTACAGAGCAGTTATACTGTGCCCTACAAGGTCTCTGTGAGTCAGAATGTACTTGGAAGTGGGTTGTGTTTTCGTGATTTTAAGTGCAAGAAAAGGTTTCAGACTAGAAGTCTTTTCAATGATTTAAAAGCTGCATATGCAGCAAGTGAAGGTGACACTTTGATGAAGAATTTCTTTCAAAGTGAGGACAACTTTGCTAACATTAAGGAGCAAGTAGGAGTTGTCTCTAAGTCAGCTGTTCCTAAACCTGGGACTGCTTCTATTTAAAAGACTACTCAATCTAACATCTGAGGAATATATTTACAACACAGTTTCCTGAGTCGCACGCTACACTAAAACTGAATTAGAATTTTAGAAAAAGGACTAAGAATCCACATTCTAGGTAATCCTTATGTAAACTATCATTTGAGACTGTATCAGAAGGAAACCATTGTGAAGTTTTAAGCGGAAGAGAAACAGATTTGCAAATTCTATCCATCACATCAGTGAGATGATTAATCCAAGATAAAAACTGAAGGAAAAGAGGCTATGGCAGGGCACTCGATAAAAACTGATGAACTTTACCAAAGCAATAGTAAAAAGAAAAGACTGACATAAATAGACAGAACAGCATAAATGCTATATTGTTTATAGGTATCAATTTCCAGTTATTATAAATCACAAAGGTAGAACTACACGAAAAATTTTAAATTGTAATAAAAAATCATTTGTTTCTATCAATGTAGTGTCTTTCAGTTTCAAAATATTCTATTATTAAAGCAATAACTAAAATTACCTGTCATATAAATAAGAATATTACTTCTATCATCAGAAAGAAGACGTTTTGACCGAGGAGTACTAGGTGGGATTCTCCCAGTTAATACCCGCAAAAAATTCTCCACAGTTACCTGAAAAATATAAATCAGATGAATTAGAACTTGGGGAAATCTAGTAAGTTAGTTTTACTTTAAAAAACATACATTCCATCCTTTTCATCTATGTACTGTTGTTCTTACTGTTGTTGTTGTTAACTGCCATCCAGTTCGTTCCAACTCATAGCAACCCTTTATAGTTTCCAAGGAGTGGATAGTAGGTTGCAACCATCAGCCTTGTGGTTAGCAGTTCATTGTTTCTCCCACACTGACACATATTATTGTTGTTAAGTGCTATCAAGTTGATTCCACCCATAGTGGCCCTGACATATAATGTTGTCGTTGTTAAGCGTTCTCATATCAGTTTCGACCCATAGCAACCCTGTATAGAGTTTACAAGGAACAGCTGGTAGTTTCGAACAGCCGACCTTGAGGTTAGCAGCCCGATTCGTAACCACTACAATACCAGAGCGTCACACCACAACTTTTGACACATATTGTTGTTTGCTGTCAAGTCAATTCTGACCCATAGAGACCTTATTTAACAGCCTGTTTTCCTGTATGTTCTAGATCTATTTGAGATGACCCCATCCGTTACAGGCTGAAGGGGGGCTTGCAAACTTGCTGTAATCATCTTCCCCAGTTATCCTTTCTATCCCACTTAGATGTCTATATTTGTCCTCAAAAAATCTGTCCTCACTTTGAAAGAAATTCTTCATCAATGTGTCACCTTCACTTGCTGCATGTGCAGCTTTTAAATCATTGAAAAGACTTCTAGTCTGAAACCTTTTCTTGCACTTAAAATCACGAAAACAGAACCCACTTCCAAATACATTCTGACTCACAGAGACCTTGTAGGGCACAGTATAACTGCTCTGTAGGGTGTCTGAGGCTAAATTTTTATGGAAATATTTCATATTCTTGGAAACCCTATGTATGTAAAGGTGAGCTTGAACACCGACCTTGCAGTTCAAACGACTTTGTGGACTGATGCATTAACCCACAGCGCCACATCAGGACTCCTTGATACATGCTGTTGTTCTTGTCGTTAAGCACAGTAGAGTTAGGTCCGACTCATGGTGACCCTACACAGGTAAATCTTTACAGGAGCAGATAAGCCTCATCTTTCTCCCATGGAACAGCTAGTAGTTTCGAAGTGATGACCTTGAGGCTAGCAGCCCAATTCGTAACCACTATATGACCAGAGCTCGTTTGATACATATTGTTGTTGTTGTTAAGTGCTGTCAAGTTGGTTCCGACCCATAGCGACCCCTGTATAGGGTTTCCGAGGAGCGACTGGTGAGCTTGAACTGCCGACTTCACAGTTCAAACGGCTTTGCAGTCTGCACATTAACCCACAGCACCACACATATTAGTGGTTGTCAAATCGATCCTTACTCATAGTGACTCCATATGTGCAGAGTAGAACTGTACTCCATTTTCAAGGCTGTCACCTTTTGGAAACAGATTAACTGTCTTCCAAGTTGCCTCTGGGTGAGTCTGAACTACCAACCTTTCAGTTATTAGTCCAGTCTTGACCATTTGTGACATTCAGGCACTCCACCATATACTGCCCACTGCCATCAAGTTATTTCCAACTCATAATGCCCATATAGTAGAGCGTAATACTGCCTTAAAGGGTTTCCAAAGCTGTAAGCTACAGAAGGAGACTACGAGATCTTTCTTACATAGAGGGCTGGTGAATTCACACTGTGAAACTTTTGGTAAGCAGCTGTGTGTTTAACTACTGTGCCACCAAGGTCTATTAAATGTATGAGTGTGTATCAGTCTTGTCTCTCTCTAAATGCTGTTGCTCAGGATGTCAAAGGCTCGGAAGTTCACACACCACATTGAACTTCAAATCCATCAGTCCATCCTTTTCTCTCATTCCAAGGTCATCGAGCATCCATGAAATGTAATATGGCAAATCTCAGCCCATGCTTTCATTGTTGCAATTCCCCCTCTTCCACTCATAAACTAACCAGGACAGTTGTCATCTAGTATACAGGACTGTTCGTGTGGTCCCTTTGAGTTTCAGTCTTAGGAGTTTATCTGATGTGTTGGCTTTTCTTGCCTTGATGGCTCCAGGACAAATAGCTTGCTTGCTTGATAATGTCACAGCCAAACAGTCTGCTTTATCCACCACCCACTACCCCTCCCAGCAATTGATCTTTCTTTCAAGAAGTATCTTCTGTTCCTCTAGCCTCTTTGGGTTGGTCTGCATGTCCTATCCCTGAAAGTTCTGGGTGGGGCTCAGGATTCCACCTGAGACCCCATCTTCCACCAAGGCTTAACAAGAAGCCTGTTTTCCTGTATATCCTAGTCCCATTTTAGATGACCCAATCCATTATAGGCTGAAGGGGGGCTTACAAACTTTCTGTAATTATCTTCCCCAGTTATCCTTTCTATCCCACTTGTTGTTGTTGTTAGGTGCCATCAAGTAGGTACTGACACATAGCGACCTTATGTACAGCAGAACGAAACACTGCCCGATCCTGGGACAACCTATCTATCCCACTTAAATGTCTCTATTATGCTAGAAGGCAGGGGAACCCAAAATCCACTAAAGAGTCAAACATCTTAACATAATTTCCTCTCCTTTTCCTCTTCTATGTCTCGATACCTATACCACAGAGCCTTGTTAGTCCACGGCAGTGCAAACATCAGAGTCTACCTCTAATGCATTTAGCCACTCCTCTGAGCTCCTCCCCATTCATGTGCATGGCCCTCCCTCTCTTATTTATTGCCAGCCATGTTCCCCAAGTTGATCTATGTCTGTACCCTGACCTCTGAGTTACAGTCCCCTCCCTCCCGACCCTGGTAACCCTCAAAGGTTTATTCTTTTAGTATGGAAATCTTTTGTTTAGTTTTTATAATAATGGGCTTATGTAATAACTGTCCTTTTGTGCCTGACTAATGTCATTCAGTATTATGTCCTTAAGGCTCATCATGTTACGCAGTGTTTTGCAGCTTCCTCATTATTCAAGGTAGCACAGTATTCCATTGTGCATACATGTACTGGAGTTTGTTTATCATTCTTCCGTTAACGGGCATTTGGGTAGTCTCCAGTTTTTTACTATTATGAATAGTGCTGCAATGAAAATCACTGTGCATGTATTTACTCATATTCTGTCTCATATTTCTTGTGGATATATACCTAGTAGAATTGCTGGATCATAAGGCATTTCTATTTCCAGCTTTCTGTGGAAGCATCATACCATTCTCCGGAGTGGTTTAACCAATTTGCAGTCCTACTAGCAATTTAGGAGGGCCCCAGTCTCTCCACACCCTCACCAGCATTTGTTGTCATCGGCTTTTATGAACTTCATTGTTACTGCTGGTGTGAGATGATATCTCATTGTTGTTTTGATTTGCATCTCTCTAAGGAGCTCTGGTAGCGTAGTCATTATGAGTCAGACTGCAAAGCTCAAGGTCAGCAGTTCAAAACTACCAGCGGTTCCATGGGAGAAAGATGAAGCTTTCTGCTCCCGTAAAGATACACAGCCTCGGAAACCCTGTACAGGGTCGCTATGAGTTGGAACTGACTCGACAGCATATAACAACTACAACAATGGCTAATGATCGTGAATATTTCTTCATATTTCTGTCATCTGTTTGCTGACAGAATGTCTTCCATGGTGAAGTGTCTATTCATGTCCTGTGCCCATTTACTAATTAGGTTATTTGTCTTTTTGTTGTAGATATGTTGTAATTTCCTATAAATTTTAGATATTAGTCCCTTGTCTGATGTGTTGTTGCAAGAGATATTTTCCCAGTCTGTGGGCTCCCCTTTTTCACCTTTGGTGAATTCTTTTGATGCACATAAATTTCTAATATTTAGTATGACTCAGTCATCTAATTTGTACTCTCCTGTTTGTGTGTTTTTGTCAGGTTTGATAATCTACATATGCCATATATTAGAGTTCTTAAGTTTGTCCCTATTTTTTCATTGATAATCTTTATAGTCCTGGGATTTACATTTAAATCTTTAATCCATGTTGAGCTACTTTTCATATATGGTGTGAGGTATAGGTTTTGTTTCAACCTTTTCCAAACCAATTTCTAGTTTTGCCAACACCATTTGTTAAAGAGACTATCTCTTCGTTATTTAATGGATTTTGGCTCTTTGTCAAAGATCAGTTCACTGCATGTGGATGGATTTACTTCAGGTTCTCAATTCTGTTCCATTGATCTATGTGTCTTGCATTGTACCAATACCAGGCTGTTTTGACCACTGTGGACTTGTAATAAGTTTTACAGTCTGGAAGAGAGAGGCCTCCCACTTTGTTCTTTTTCTTTGGCAGTGCTTTGCTTATTTAAGGTCTCTTTTCCTTCCAAATAAAGTTTGTGATCACTTTTTCCATCTCTTCAAAGAATGTTGTTGGACTCTGGATTGGAATTGCATTATATCTGTAGATGCTTTGGGTAGTATTGACATTGTCATAATGTTAAGTCTTTCTATCCATGAGTATGGTACATTCTTCCATTTTTATAAATCTCTTTTGGTTTCCTGTAGTAGTGTTTTGTAGTTTCTTTATATAGGTCTTTTGTTTATCTGGTTAGAATTATTTCTAATTACTTCATTCCAGGAGCAGCTGGTAGGTTTGTGCAGTCTAGTGCATTAACCTGCAGTGCTACACCAGGACTCCTAAAGAGACTAAATGTATTACTGAGAGAACTTGTCTGCAGCCATCCAATGATTACAGGGACATGTTCAAACACATTTTGTTTGAATTAACCTATGTATGTATGAATTGAAATACCAGTAATTCTTTTTTTTTTTTTTTTAAGATTTTATTGTGAATTGAATGAACATTTACAGGGCAGATCATCAGTTTTACATTCAATGTACCATCAGTTAACAGTATTTCTCTCTATTCATTTTAGCTCTTTGTTTAAAAACACTCAGGCATATATAATTTATACCACCAAAGGGCACATTCTGCAAGTCTGCCTCCTGGTTGCCAGCTTTCAGTCTCTCTCTTTCCATGAATCTAGAGTCCTCAGCTGCTCCCTCTCTCTATGTCCCCAAATCTGCCTCCATCTCTGGTGTCACTGCTTCTCTGGATACAGTCCCGCATTCCGCTTGTGCTCTTCTCCCTTGACGGTCCTAGGGTTCTCTGTTTCTGGACTGTATGATTAACTACTTCCCCATTTTTGTTATAAAACTTCTATCTTTACAATGTTGACAGTCACAATTAGTCATGATAATTACTCACTCTAGAATCATAAGAATCTTATCCCAATCTCTTTTTACCAGACCCATCTAGACAAGATGAAAACTATTTAGTTAGGACTCTTTCTTCCCCCACACACTATTAAACTAAACTTCCCCTTCAAATCTTGTATGCTAGTCACTTCGTGCCTTTATCGTGTCCTCATTTTAGGTAGCCAATGTCTAAGCTGCCTGTCCCTATCTACCCTGTATACAGAGGGGCTAGCATTGATACTTGATGTGAAGACTCCTTCCCTCTCTGTTGGCATTTTGAGCTACTACCTCTGGTAGCGTAGTGGTTACGAATCGGGCTGCGAACCTTAAGGTCAGCGGTTCGAAACTACCAGCCGCTCCGCGGGAGAAAGATGAGGCTTTCTACTCCCGTAAAGATTTACACCCTCGGAAACCCTGTACAGGGTCGCTATGAGTCGGAACCGACTTGACGGCACTTAACAACAACAACAACAACAACCTCCATGAATATAAGTCAAGTTTATCACCAGTAATACTTTTTGTCTTTTTTTCATACATACCTTTGCTAATGAGAAATGGCCATTTTTAATATACAGTTTTATGACAAAGAAGTAAAATGTCAACCATTCATACACATCTGGTCATTGAACCAACATTTTTGAGTGCCTACTATGGGCTATGGAGTCCTGGTGTGGCACTGTAGGATAAGCACTGGCCCACAACATCGGTTTGAACCATAAGGTTGGTTACAGGTATACACTATGAAATATAGGTACTTATTACAGGTAAGAGTTTACAGTCTGGAAGGAGAAAGATATTTTTCTTAAAAGGTTTTAAAAGATGTTTGAGAATATAGAACACTGTATTTTACTTTATAGTTGTTATTTTTGTTAAGTGCCATTGAGTCCCTTTCAACCTTGCACAGGGTTTCCAAGCAGTGGCTGGTGGTTTGAACCACTGACCTTGCAGTTAACAGTCTAGTGCTTATCCCACAGCACCACACCAGCACTCCATCTAACTTTAGTGGTGGTGGTGGTGGTGGTGCTGTACCACGGAGTCAGTGACCCTGCTATGAGTTTTCGAGGCTGTAAATCTTTAAGGGAGCAGAAAGCCTCATCTTTATCCCATGGAACAGCTGACAGTTTTGAACTGCTGACCTTGAGGTTAGCAGCCCAACTTGTAACCACTATGCTATGAGAGCTCCTTTAACTTTAGTAGGTGTTGTAAAATGACAAAAAATTATCAAGGAAGGCTTCATGGAAGATTTCAAATTTTAAGTGTATTTACAATATACTGTTAAATTTCAAGTGAAATTTCACAAGGAGAAAATATAGTATATACCATCTTTCATATTCACATTTTTATTTTTAATTGCTTATGCATAAAACCACTGGAAGCATATTAAAAGGAGTTATCTCTTTATAGTGGAAATAAGGGTGAATTTTTTTGGTTAGTCATTTTCTAACTTTGTAGTTCCTATAACAAGTGTATTTATTTTAAAAACTAAACTGAAAACTTTTTAGAATAAAAAACAAACTATATATACTATGAAGAAAACTGAAACCTTACTAAACTCTTAAATAGAAGTCAGTATAAAGTTTTTCTAAGATACATATATGAAAATGCTCATGTTTTAGCAGTTCCCCCCTATATTATTTCTTTGAAATGAACTCTAGAGAGCAATCATGCCAAAAATTCAATGACAATTTTATACAAGTTTGAAAACAATGTGATGTTTTATTCTAACACTGATTTAGAGTTTAAATGCAATAGTTAACCTACAACTCAAAAATATTACTAAATTAAACAATTTACCTCATAGCTTCTATAATCCACTTCAACATCATCTCCATACACATTTAATTCCATGTTCTTGTGACTAAACACTGTAGCTGGTTTGGGATTTCTAGGGTTACATGCCATATCATCTGCAAGCATTAGAACAATGTGACTAGAAAAACAGGGAGGAAAAAAATCAAGTAAATAAATTTTTAAAAAATTAAAGACAAATAAAGCTTACATCATGTGACAATTATGTTCATTCCTTTATTTAAACATTTCACAACTGTAAATACAGTACATATTTGTTGTTGTTGTTAAGTGCTATCAAGTCGGTTCAGATTCAGATGAGAAGACTTTAAAAAGTTCATGAAAAAATGGATTTAAAAGATAATGGAATTTTTACTAACTTTTTGAATCCCCCTATTACAAGAAGAGTTGTGGGATGACATAAAGAACATCATACAGGAAGAAAGCAAAAGGTCATTAGGAAAAGACAGAAGGAAAAGATTAAAACTGATGTCAGGAGAGAATCTGAAACTTGCTCTCCAGCATAGAGATGCTAAAGCAAATGAAAGAAGTAAGGAGGTACAAGAGCTGAACAGAAATTTTCAAAACACAGCTCGAGAGGACAAAGTCAAATATTAAAACAAAATGTGCAAAGACTGGAGTTAGAAAATCAAAATGGAAGAACACGCTCAGCATTTCTCAAGTTGAGGGAACTGAAGAAAAAATTCAAACCTCAACTTGCAATATTGAAGGATTATCTGAGCAAAATACTGAATGATGAAGGAAGCATCAAAAGAAGATGGAAAGAATACACAGAGTCACTTTACTAGAAAGAGATGGTTAATGTTCTACCATTTGAAGAGGTAGCATATGTTCAAGAGTCAATGATACTGAAGGAAGATGTCCAAAGTGCATTGAAGTCATTGGCAAAGAACAAGGCATACAAGGAATACAAGACATGATGGAATACAAATGGAAATTTTACAACAAAGTAATGTGGCACTTGAGGCGTTCACTCATCTATGCCAAAAAATTTGGAAGACAACTACCTGGCCAACTGACTGGAAGAGATCTGCATTTGTGCCCATTCCAAAGAGAGGAGACCCAACAGAATGCAGAAATAATAAGACAATATCACTGATATCCCATGCAAGTAAAGTTTTACTAAAGGTAATAAAGAAACAACTGAACCATACACTGATAGAGAATTTCCAGGGGTTAAAGCCCGATTTAGAAGACACTGTGGAATGAAAGATATCATGGCTGACATCAGATGGATATTGGCTGAAAGCAGAAAATGCCAGAAAGATGTGTACCTGTGCTTTACTGACTACACAAAGGCTTTCGATTATGTGGATCATGGCAAGCTACAGACAAAATTGCAAAGTATGAGTATTCCAGAACACTTAATTGTACTCTTGAGGAACCTCTACATAGACCAAGAGGCACTGGTTCAAAGAGAACAAGGAAACACTGAATGGTATAAAATTAGGAAAGGTGTATGCCAGGGTAGTATTCTTGTACCATATTGATTCAATCTCTATGCTGAGCAAAGAATCCAAGAAACTGAATTATATGAAGAAAACTTGTCAGGATAGGAGGAATACTCATTCATGACTTCCTTTATGCAGATGATACAACCTTGCTTGCTGAAAAAGAAGAAGACTTCAAATATTTACTGATGAATATCTACGACCACAGCTGTCTGCATGGGTTGCACCTCAACGCAAAGAAAACAAGAATCCTCATCACTTGACCAATAATTAACACCCATATATGTGGGGAAAAGATTGAAGTTTTCAAAGACTTCATTTTGCTCAGATCGACCATCAACACTCATGGAAGCACTCGTCAAGAAATCCAATGATGTATCACATTGGGCAAATCTGCTGCCCAAGACCTCTTTAAACTGTTAAAGAGCAAACATGTCAGTTTGGAGACTAAGGTGTGCCTGATGCAAACCACAGTATTTTCAATAACCTCCTATGAATGTGAAGGTTGGATACTGAATAAGGAAGACTGTAGAAAAATTCATGCATTTGAGATATGGTGTTGGAGAATATTGAAAGTACAGAGGACTGCCAAAAGAACAAACCAATGTATTTTAAGAAGTACAGCCAAAATGCTCCCCGAAAGCCAGGCTGGCCAGATTTCGTCTCTCGTACTTCGGACATATTGTCAGGACTGACCAGTCACTGGTGAAGGATATCGCATTTGGTAAAGCAAAGGGTCAGAGAAAAAGAGGAATATCACCAATGAGATGGATTGGCACAGTGGCATCAATGGGATCAAACGTAGCAGATGGTGAAGTTGGCCCAAGATATGGCAGTATTATGTTCTATTGTGCATAGGGTCACTATGAGTCAGTACCAACTCTGTGGCACTAAACAACAACAGTATAAGTTTGGAGAACACAGTAACCCCATACAATAGGCACGGGACTATGAATCACAAGGTCCACCGTTTAAGTCTAAGCCATTCCTTGGAAGAAAGATAAAGCTTCCTGGTCGTGTAAAGATTTAAATCCTAGGAAGCCCTATACAGGGTCACTATGAGTCGGAACCAACACAAACACATTTAACAACAACAACAAAGTATAAGTTTTATTATATAAATTAAGTTTTGGAATTTACAGTTTTATAAGTTTAAGAGTCCTGGTTTGATGCTGTAGGATAAGCACTGAACTGGTATGCACAAAGTCGATGGTTCAAAACCATCAATCACTCCTCAGAAGCCCTGTATAGGTTTCGATATGAAATGGAACTGACTCAGTAGCACTTAACAACAACAATAGTATAAGCTTTAAAGTAGAGAAATCAGACTAACTTAGAATTAATTAAGATACTAACTTAATTTTTTTCCCAACAGAGTATATTTTATGCCATACAACGAAGAGTAATAAAAAGCGGTACTTTGTCTTCCCCATAATTTTAAAGATATCTAGTAGTATTTGACATTTTAAAACTTGTAAAGTCTATATTAAACTATATTATAAAGAATTTAATGTTCAGAATTCTAAATGCTTAATATAAAAGGAGATTATAATCATTGTAATTGAAGAAAGTATATGATTTGTTAAATATAAAACTGATGATCTGCCCTGTAAACTTTCACTCAATCCACAATAAAAATCTTAAAAAAAAAAAAATGCAATCGATCAGCAAGTGTAAAACTTATCACCAAAATCCATCTGCAGCCAATCTCTTCTCAGTAGTTCTATTACATGTCTAATACCTGCCATCTCTTGACTATAAACTAAACAGCTCCTTATGTGGCTCCCTACTTCCACTCCTGCTTCCTACTGACCAGATTTAGACTTTTCTTCTCTCAGATCTTCATAGCATTCCAATCCAATCTCTAAAACGCTATCTCATTATCCTATCATTTTCAAGACAACATTTATTAATATAAAATCCCCATTGTGCCCCCACTGTTGTTGTTGTTGTTGTTAAGTGCCATTGAGTCTGTACCGATTCATAGTGACCTTATGCACAGAAGAACGAAGCACTGCCCAATCCTGGGCCAACCTCACCACTGTTGCCACACTTGAGTCCATCAAGGCTGCCACTTGGACAATCCATCTCATTGGGGGTCTTCCTCTTTTTCTCTGACCCTCCACCTTACCCAACATGATCTCCTTCTCCAGTGACTGGTCCTTCCTGATCATATATTCGAAATATGAGTGACAAAGTTTGGTCATCTTGGCCTCCAAGGAGCACTGTGGCTGCACTTCTCAAACACAGATCTGCTGGTTCTTTAGACAGCCCATGGCACATTCTGGCTGCACTTCCTCCAACACCATAACTCAAATGCATCAATTCCTCTACAGTCTTCCTTATTTACCATTCAGCTTTCACATGCATATGAGGATATTGAAAATACCATGACTTGGGTCAGGCACACCTAAGTCCTCAAGCTGACATCTTTGCTCTTCAACACTTTAAAAAGGTTTTGTGCAGCAGATTTGCCTAATGAAATACGGCATTTGATTTTTTGACTGCTACTTTCGTGAGTGTTGATAGCTGATCCAAGAAGAATGATGTCCTTGCCAACTTCAATCTTTTCTCCATTGATAAGAATGTTGTTTAGTGGTCCAGTGGGGAGGATTTTGGTTTTCTTTACATTGAGATGTAATCCATACTGAAGGCTGTGCTCTTTGATCTTCCTCAGTAAGTATTTTAAGTCCTCTTCACTTTCAGCAAGCAAGGTTGTATCATCAGCATATCCCAAGTTGTGAATGAGTCTTCCTCCAATCCTGATGCCATGTTTTTCTTCATATAACCCAGCTTCTCAGATTATTTGCTAAGCATACAGATTGAATAAGTATGGTGAAAGAATACAACCTTGTTGCACACCTTTTTTTATTTTAACCATTCAGTGTTCCCATGTTCTGTTCGAACAACTGCTTCTTGGTCAAGGTACAGATTCCTCACGAGCACAATTCAGTGTTCCAATATACTCATACTTCGCAATGTTGTCCATAGCTTGTCATGATCCACACAATTGAAAGCCTTTGTATAGTCAATAATGCACAGGTAAACATCTTTCTGATATTCTCTGCTTTCAGCTAAGATCCATCGGCTATCAGTAATGATATCCCTCGTTCCAGAGCCTCTTCTGAATCCAGCTTGAACCTCAGGAAGTTCTTGGTCAGTGTATGATTGTAGGCATTTCTGTATTACCTTTAGCAAAACTTTACTTGCATGGGATATCAAAGAGATTGTCTGATGATTTCCACATTCCACTGGGTCACCTCTCTTTGGTGGTCCCATAAAGTCACTATATCCCAAAAGCTTAGCATATTTATTGAGTATCTTGTATACGGTAGGTGCTCAATAAATGTTTGTTGAATAAAGGAAATAGTTTCAATTTTACATTTATTTTCTATGAAAGAAAATTACAAAATCTCTCAAGTATTTTTCTTATTTTTCCTATCATTAAAGCTGGTGAACAGAAATCAAGCAATTATTTATTCTATCAAACACTTGAGCTTCCAAAACACAAGGGAAAAATTAATGTGGCATACATAATTACTTTAGCAGGAAATACCAAGAAGAAAGTGTTCTGCTACATATGTTCCAAATATATTAAAGTTCAAACCTGAAACACTGATTTTTTTCATGAGATTTAGATAAATTACGAATTTGAAAAGATTCCAATCAT